TGTGTGTGTGTGTGTGTATGTGTGTGTGTGTGTGTGTGTGTGTGTGTGTGTCTGCAAACTGGCCAATTGGCCGACACACATAGATACGCCTGTCGAACGCGGGAGATGGAAACTGGCGGGTGTCAAACGCGGGAGATAGAAACTGGCGGGTATACTGGCCAACGAACACTGGCCGCGGGTCTACTGGCCGACGCGTAGGAGATCCGGAATCCGGCCAACCGGCCGACGTGCGTCACTCGAAGACTCCCGAAGGCCCGCCCCCAAAAAACAAACACGATGCATCTTACCGGTTCCTAACGCGAGATTCGTTCTCGCGTGCTGTCCAGAAGCTGTCTCTTATACACATCTAGATGTGTATAAGAGACAGGCACAAAACAGGGGGGTAGGGGAACAGGACGTAACCAAGCCTCCTGGAATCGGGTGTTTAGCTCAGGTCACAGATCGGGACTTAAAGATGACGACATTTGAAGGCCATTCTCGCGCCCCCAGTACCAGCCAAGGCGAACCGAGTATATCATCTCCTCCAGCGGACTGTCAACGATGCAAGCAACTCAGGCTACTGGACATCTCGGCTTGCAGAATACTCCACCTTCACAGGAAGACCCAGCGACTTGCTATTACCACATCTGCATCTCAGTTCAAACATAAAACAGCAATAACAAAACTGAATTAGCTTCCAGGATATGGATGGGGAGGGTGGGCATAGCATAGAAAGGATTAACAATCAGTGTCATCTACCTGCCCAACTTGGGGTGGGATAGCCTGGTACCTCGACACACCTACATTTGCATATCTGATCACACAAACAGCCACATTGTTCAGGGACGCTGGACCCCATTTCCAGCGCTTGACAGATGTTAGGAAGCAGGAATTAACAGAGAATAGCCACACACGCGGGCCAGACAGGGGCCCGGTAGGAGGCTGACTCAAATAATATGAAGGACAGGGACATACATCTACTTGAACGGTATTATGCACTGGTTTTCAGAGGGTATAGGGTTTAAGGGGTTTAAAGGGACAGACATAGCAACAAGCAAACAGGGGGGTTGCTGAAATAGGGCTGGGCTAATAGATAAGATGGTGCTCCAAGAAGGGAAGGGTGACACTAGCAGCTCCATGGGACACTAGCAGCTCCATGGGACAACGAAGCCCCGGGCAGAGACAACAATCACCACAGCCCTAGGAAACAACAAACAGCAATATCTGTGTTACAAGATGTATCAATGGGATGCTGAACCCGGTTTCCGGCAGGTGCCGCTCCCCACCAATAGATGGAGCAGCCCGACAGATAAGCCCTCAATTCTGACGGTTCTCTTACCACCGCCAGGATAGAGGGATATCGCAAGGGCTATTTTAGTATTTTCCCAAAAAAAAAAAAAAAAAAAAAAAAAAAAAAAAAAAAAAAAAAAAAAAAGGAGTAGTGGTAGGTAGATAGTGTGAAGTGAAATTGAGAGAAGAACATAGCTACTTGCAAAATGGAGGGTCTTTGCGTTAGCGGGACCCCAAAACGGTGAGAAAAAAGAAAAAAGAAAAGGGAGGCGCAGCTACTTGCAAAATGCTGGGTCTTTGCGTTAGCTGGACCCCCACCGGCGGCCCCACCCCATCCTTGACCACCATGGTTAGGGCGGGGGGCAACATGCATCCCCTCTGATGGCTGGAGGGAGACAACAAAGCTATGTTCGCAGGGGTCCCGTGTATAGGCCTTAGGAGTAGTGGTAGGTAGGTAGTGAAGGTGGATTTGAGAGAAGAATATAGCGTAGTTAAAAAAAAAAAAAAAAAAACTTGTGTCTCCGCGCTGCTCCTGAAAAAGCACCCCCTTAGATTGTGCCCTCTGAGGATCGCCCAAGTAACAATTGTGGCCAGCCTTGGTAGGACCAAACCAGCGCCAGCGCTAGCAGCCTGTGCCAGCCAACCAGCGAGGTCTGGTTGCACCTGGCTCAACCTGGCACCTGGGGAGGCGTTCTCCCTTGGGTTGCAGGGCCTGTGCTCGCGCCCGACACGTGGCAGTGAGTGTCGTCGGTGACGTGGCTGGTCGGACGGACGACGACGCGGTTACAGGGGATGTGCCGGCTAAATTGCTGATTACTTTCATTGGCGGCACGATGGGTTTGGCGGGGCTACTACAACGTGACGACGAAGGGGAGCTGCAACGCGGGGCGGATGAATGGCTGATTATCATGGAGAATGGGTGCAGGCGGCTACAGGAGCTTGTGGGCGAATTGTCCGTGCGGTCGAATGAAGAGCCTGGGATCGATGGGGGGGCGATCTCATTGGCGGATTGGTTGAACGATACGACCGAAGATATCCTGGATGTTATGTGGGAGCTGGAGGAGGGGCCGGACCCCCGGCTCGAGGCATACATCGATTGGTGGTGGGCAGATGGCATCATGGCTACACGTAGGGTTCTCTTTGCTAAGGGTCGTGATCTGCGCTTTTTGTTGGAGGATCGGCTTGCATCCGAGGCGATAACAATACCAACAATCATATCTACAACGCCGCTCTCCACATCAGAAGCAGCAACTACGGTGATATCAACAGCAACAACAATAACAACAACGACAACAATGATGATGCACGCTGTGACGATGGTGAAATCACCACCAATGAAGACGCAGAAATCACCACCAATGAGGACGAAGACATCAACCACCACGGCTGGCACAAGGACGACGGGTGCGTTACTATTGATGGTGGTACGTCCCTTCACACAGGCATGGGCTGTGGGTTCGGCCCTTCGATCTTTCCCTCCCTTTGATCGGGGTCCGTTAATGCTCCTCTGGTCCTTTGCCATCTGGCGCACTGGGGTGGGATAGATAGTGAGTGAGAGTGTGAGGGGGGATGGTCGGCTCTGATTTCTCAATACTGGTTTGCCATCTGGCGCACTGGGGTGGGATAGATAGTGAGTGAGGGTTTGAGGGGGGATTGCCGGCTCTGATTTCTCAATACCGGGAGGTGAGATTGGCTTGATAGATTGGCGGTTGTGGTTGTTGGGGGATAAACCTTCCTCTTTTTCAGACGGAGGGATTAGTGCCTCCACCTCAGTAGGAGATCGGTTGGATATAATGACCAGGGCTTTTTGGCAGTAAATATTGACGACGATTGACACGTGGCCGGGCCCTTTCATACTACAATTTCATACGAATCATGTAACCTGTGTTTTTTGATATGGTAGTAGATTGGAGCTTTCAGTACGTAGCTCCAAGATTTTTCATCTACAATGGCCGTAGGGCCTACTCACAAACTTCGGTATGCTAATCAATTCAATTTGGTTATGCTATGATACAGTAGGGTATAGGTGCAGCGGGTCAATCCTCCTCTGGAATGAGGAGTAATCAATGCCCCTGTATGTACGATGGCCACGTGGCCTATTCATATCATTTTCATTTGACAGATTCATTGTACAGGGACGCTGGACCCGATTTCCAGCAGGTGTTAAAAAAAAAAAAAAAAAAAAAAAAAAAAAAAGACCGGGCAATACTACCACGAAGTGTGCGGTGATTGCCAGCATCCGTGTGGTGTTGTGTGTGGTGTGCGTAGAGTATGGACACTACAGCCTTGCAGGGGTGGGGCGGGGCCGGTATGGTTGTGCTTTTGAACACCATGTCCTGGCTGTAGTGGTTACAATGCTTGGCTCCTGACGCCAACATCACCGGTTCAAGTCTGTGCTTGCACGGACGAGGGCCGAGGCCTAGAGGTACTGATCCAATGACATGTCTCCCAGAGCCAAACTTTTCATCAACCATCAACTGTTGAAACCGATCTAAGTTCGTGGCCCAGCTATCAAGTCCGAGCCTTGGCCGACCGGTATGCCGAGCCGTGCCGAGGCTCGAACTACCGGGTGCTAACTTCCCAAATGTACTTGGAGAAAAACACGGAAAAAAGAAGACAGAAACAAAGAACACACAAAATGCAAAAAGAAACGACAGAAAAACGCGATTAAATCTATTATTAAAAAAAAATGAAAAAAAGAAAAAAACATGGTTACTACCTCGACATGTACAAAAGACAATAATCATGGCGGTGTATCTTTCCGTGTTCTAGCGAAAGATT